GCGAATAAACAAAAACATAAAACTCATGTAATGTATTTGGGAGGCCAAAATCTGTCCACCGTTCGTGACATTCATGAGGACATAAAGATCAATTTTTGATTCTAGCTTTTTGTTTTCATCGCTCAGGTTAAGGTATATCTACATATTGTAATATACTATTATTATTATCTGGCAATGGATAGTCAAATTTATTAAAGCTTCAATTCAAATTGAAATAAAGGCGGGGTTTCCAAGTAATTTTCAGCTACATAAGAGATGTAAAAGTAAGTATATTATTTGTAACTTCTAGTGCAATCGCGAATATTTAACATAATTTACTTACCAATGAACACAATTTTCTGCTTACGTCTGACTTTTTTCAACATATTTCTACAGCATGGGTATAGTTCATGTTATCTACATTAACCTACGTCTCTGAGACAAACGTCTATGGTCAACTTATCATTACAATAAATTATTACACTTAAATTTATCGTCGCTATCCGTCAGAAGGTAACAGAAACACATTTTAAAATAATTGCCTAAAAAATAATCGTCAAAGTTCCACATATAAAACAACTAAACAAAGAACGATTTTCATATTATTTAACATTCATTAAAATGACACCAATAAATTATGTTTAAGATTATTTATATTCGAACATTAATAAAAGGAATAGAAGTAACTGAAGAGAATTGCTGTTTCGAACAACAACTCTCAATATCTTTTTAAAGAGTTATACGATACACTCATCATTTTATACTTAACGCTACATGTTGTTCTATTATTTCCCAGTTTGTTTTAGTATTTAAAACTATCAAATTCTATAAAAAGAAAAAAAGAATTATGTGTGACATTTAACTGGTGATGTGATATTAAGGGGATATGTGGAAAAGCATGTACTTAATTGACCCTCTTACAATACTTCCCCAGCTTATGCTCAGGAAGTAAAAAATATACAAAACAATGGAACTTCGGGGTACAAAAGTACCAAATTAAATTTTCAATAAGACACAACAAGTTCATTTAAAATTAAAGCATTTGACACTGGCTACTTAACACCCGCCAATTTTAACTAGTTTCAACGTACCCATGATTGCTTGCATTTTTATGGTCTAGAATTAACTCTAAAAACTATCTACTTGGAAAGTAACAATGGTCGACTAAGATATTCAAAAATTAAGGTATGTAAATGATTTTATTGTCCTGGTTTCTCATGACGCCGATGGTACATTTTTGTGGTTAAATAAACAAAAATTAAATTACAAGCGACATTTTAAAAATAATTCTCAAACTTGGTGCTTACATTTAAATCTTTAGTTGAAAGCTTGGCACAATTGTGTCACGCGTTCAATACTGGTGTTATTTTTAGGGTATAGAAAAGTGTAGATGACATGATTTAACCAAGACAACCAAAACGTCTCCAAACTGTTAATCAAAACAGAGTTCGTGTAAAGAAATCTTTTGAAAAGTATAAGGATTTTATTTAACTTCAGTCATAATCTTTTCTAAACTTTTGTTTTTTTTTTCAAGTATTTATTTTCTTTAACTACACGCAGCACAAAATCAAAATCGTCGAACTTTTACACCACCTGATAAAAAATTTTCAATTTTTTTTGTAAAATGTAGGTCGTGTGAAAGATTTGTTTTTTCATCTGACCATCACTAACTCTACGAAATTTATTATGATACTATTCTTTATTTGCCTCAATATAGCAATTTAAATTTCAAAGGTGTAGAAATAATAATAATACTAATAATTGTATTTGAATTATAAATAAATATTTGTACACACGTCCAAAACACAAATGTTTCCTACATTTACAAGAATTTCACGATTTCCAGCAAAATATTGATTCTTACATAGCCAAAGTTTCAGTTGTAAATATAGATAAAGAAATGTCGTTTCTTTTAATAGGGAGTTATTTAATAAGCACAATTATTACGGCTATTTATTTACTAGGAGTTTAAGTAATACTCTATGTTAGGAAGCATGGACGATTAAACGCCGAGCGACAGCGAGTCTATACGAGTCACATAAAATAACTTAAACTTCGAATCAAATAATAGTTATTTATTGTAAAAGTGTTTTAAACCGCGTTTTACCCACGCAAGAATGTTTAAACGCGAGAACGCAGTTCTTAAGTGGATAAAATGTGGCTAAAACACGAATGCAATACAACGTTCTATCCACAATCACAAGCCCAAATTGAAGTTCATCGAATTTAATAAAAGAATATCCCCACATTTAAACGTCACACCTTCTAGAACTCGTTGAAACTGAGAAAGTTATGGCGCGCCGTATTGGTTGCTAAGATTAGTTACTTATTGTTTATTGTTTTTCCGTTATGCTCCAACAACTGGCGAAAATGGAAGAAGTTGAATCTATTCCTTCAGAAATCTTTGAAGAGGCCCAAGAAGCAACTGTACCAATTGGTTTAGTACCAGACAAGTCTAAAAAATATTATGAAAAAGAATTTACTGAATTTAACATGTGGAGAGAAAAACGCCAAGTAAGGACAATCAATGAGGAAGTCATGCTCTCATATTTTTTCAATCTCAAGAAAAAGTACGTGGCTTAATCAATTCTATGCTAAAGACTACTACAAAAGTTCACAAAAACATAGAGTTGTCAAAATATGACAAATTGACGCCTTTTTGAAAAGTGTTTCTAAAGGATACATACAAGTAAAGAAAGCAAACATGTTGGATCGAGAGCATGCTAAAGAATTCCTAAGAAGTATTCCTGATTAAGGCAAACTTTTATTATTTTTTTTGCAATATTAGGTATAAATTATGAATTATTTTAGGTTTCACTGATTATGGGGGGCACAGGTACATGTAGATGTTATGAATTAACGAACTTGAAAATTGATGACGTCGAAGATACTGGCTCATATTTATTGGTTTCAATACCTGATACCAAGACGAATATTTCACGTAGGTTCACCATTCTCGAGGAAAGATTTTCTATCAATGCTTTGAGCCTTTGTAAAACGTACATTTTGGTACGTCCAAAGGAGTTGCCTCAACGCAGATTCTTTTTACGATATATAAATCAAAAATGTACTGCGTAGGCTGTTGGAATTAACAGATTATCAAAAGTACCTTTGAAAGTTGCTTCTTTTTTTAACCTTCCTAACACAGAAAACTACACGGGCCACTGCTTGAAACGTACTTCCACATTCCACAACTCTGTTGGCGAATAAAGCTGCTGACATTACAACGATCAAACTGCACGGTGGGTGACGGTCTTCAGCAAGAGCAGAAAGTTACATTGAAGACGCCATATCAAATAAACTGAATATAGCAAAGAAAATTCAAGAGGAAACTTCTGGTTCGGGCCAAAAAGACAAATTCACATTTTATACAAATTCGTCAAAAAACTGTGCCTGATGTTACGATTTCCAAAAATGTCGAGAAAAAGATCCGCATCAATGACACCGAAGTCATAATATCAAAGGGGGATAATTGTGTTACTTTAAATATAAATGTTAATGTAAATAAGTAATTATTAAATAATTTTGAATGATTTGTGTTCATTATTCTTCTATGTTTGTAACAATGGAATAAACTAACTATCCCACTAGGGGATAAAGTGTTAGTTAAAACGGTTCATAAGTGTAGATTAAAATTCAATTATGTATAAGTTGATTGCGGATAAACATATTTTCAAACGATCAATGTTCTTTTGAATCGATTATTTTCTGTCTCCTTGCTTCATTAAAAAATTCCCTTGTCTTGAGTTACCATGGTTACTATGATTGACAACCACGATGATTTTCACAGAAACGTATCCTATTTGTACTCGGGCGGAGTATAAGTAATACTTTTATACGCCGAACAAACAAGCTGTCATTGAAATGAGACTTAAATCCCGGTAACAACGTCCTATAAGTATCAGTTATACGACGTTTGAAAATAAAAAATTGTATGTGATATTTCTGAAAATTGGAAAACACCGTAGCAACGGCAACTTGTCGTGGATTTGATAGACTCTTCTCATTTTATGGGTGACAGGCGACTTAATTCAAATTATAAAAAAAATTACTCTTCTTTAAAAAACACTGTTGATCTCAGTTCAGTTCAACTAATTCATAATAATTACTAATAATTGGAACCGGAGGAAGGAAAGTTTATAGCTGAAATTAAATTAAAAATTTAAGAAACTTGATAATATTTTTCTGTAAGATTACAAGCGTTTCTGTAATATAATAGCTAAAACTCTTTTAAAAATTTTTATTCATTTATGCAGTCACGTAACAGAAAACACAAAATTTGTGTTTTTGTTATTACATTGAGATAAATATAAATGAATGTTAATTGTGATGATTCGCCGCGAGTTGTTTTTTTTTTCTTCATTCTATACAGCATGACTAAAAAATATGGAATAAATTCGAAAATAAAACCATAAAATATTTAGGCAGCTCAAACACTTTTAAAAACTTTAGTTCATAGAGACACAATTTGAGACGTTATAATGCCATGTCTACGGCCCTTTAATTTTATTTTCTTCTGATTTTTAAATTCAATTCTATTTTAAATATAGCAAAAAAACGAAAGGTATAGCTGTGGAGTCGAGGAGTGACAAATATTTTCAACATTTTGCCTAAAATTTTGTCAGTATCGCTGTGATATTTATTCCATATTTTTTTAACATTATATATGTATATTCGATCAAAGTAGTATAAATAATACATCAAACAAAATTAATTTCTAAAAATTGTACATACTAATGTTTAAATACAAAAAAAAAAATAAACATCACGGCATACACATATACACTAATCGGTAAATCTCAATTAATTTTGATTAAAGCTAAGTACCTACATATTATGTAGACCTACAGTGATCTTTTTTGAAGAACGGATCCCGTACAAGAATCGACGTCTGTTATCAACTCCTTTACCTAAGTACCGCAGCACAGCAGAAGTAACATACCCAGAATGCAATCAAACATTTAATGCAACTGGTCTTGTAAACCAGCAAGCAGATTTACATACATCCAAAAATGTCTTACCTTTACATTCATTGGCATCTCTGACGGTAGCTCTACCCCACGGTCTATCAAAATGGAATGGTTTACATCTTTCGCAGTCTTTTCCCGCAGTATTATGTTTGCATTCACAGGCAAGTTGTCCGTCTCTCGCTGTGACACAGCGGCTCGCGTGTCCATTGCACTTGCATCTTCCACCAACAGCAAAATCAGCTACAGCGTACTGATGAGTGATCTGATACCCTCCACTTATCCCGTTGAATTGCAAATCGGCAGAATCGGGAGTTTTCAAATCCTCTGTATCTAATGGTTGCATTTCGTTTACTAACTGAACAACAGGTTCTTTAGTTTGAAGTTCCAAAGTTTGTTTATTTATGAAAGTGTGTTCAGGAGCAACCGTATCTTGATTTTCTGAACTGGTATCGTCAACAGGCATCTGGAAGCGATTAAAAATAACTTTGATATCGGTAGCGGTAATCCAGTCTTGGAGGACGGGAGAGTTGTCAAAATCCAATGCACTAGGACGGCCTTCCAAGGTGCTAAAAGCTATTCTCGATGATTGTCCAAGGCTTTGATTATCGCCTCCCGTGTAACGATGGGCGTCAGTGCATCGTGCCTCTTGCTCGTTCACTTTGGTGATGGTAGCTTTGTTTGGCCTGCCATAAACTCTGCGACACTGAGTCGAATAAAACTGAAACGCTTGCCACGTCTTTCCATAGTCCATACTTTTATAAATCGCGATAGAATCTGGTTTAGGTGTGTTAGGGCAAAATTGCAAACTAACGTATGTCAGTTCGTACTTTTTTCCTAAGCTGAGGATCAACGTTACATTATCTGGTGCAGCATTAATGGAAGTGACTGGAGGCAAAGGTTCAGACCGCCAGCAAGTTACGTTATTTGGATTGTTGAGATCAGTAAGGTGAGACGCTGGAAATCGATTCTTTGGTGATCTGTCGTCGCATAAATAGCACTGAGAATTACTTCCCGACTCGGGTGATTCACAGTAAGGTACAGGTGAATGAAGGCCGCAAGTAGAAGACGCTTTCACGGGTACACCGAAAGCAGCATTAACGAAATCTGGTATACACCGACGCGGCCGATCTTCATCATAGCAAGGATCAACTGGGGTCTGTTGTCCCTCAAACATCTTAAGAAAGTTGTCGGATACAGTGATCGCTGTGGGCACAATAAACACTAATAATATCGCATTTAGCAGCCTCCACATGTTACTTCCGAGCCTTAAATACAGATTAGCACAAACATATATTTTACGGGTTATGCTTTTCACTCATAAGAACCGCGGGATAAAGGTTAAATATGCCACACGTGCGATGCAGTGAATTGAAGCAGCAATCCACTCGACCCGGTAGCCGTTAAATAACTGGCGGTCCGCTGTCTGCACTGCTCCGACCTCCGATCTGAATCGGAGGCAAGCACCGCCTCTTTCCCCGCAAGGGTGTACCCCTCCGCGTCTAGATAAAATCCCCTCACCATTCTCAATGCACTGTGGACAAAATACATACCAGATTTAATAGAACTAAACAGCTAAACGAAATTTTTCTATCCACTCATTCGCGTAATTGCTTAAAAAAAATGGGCAGGGAGTAAATAGCTGTCATGTGACCGTATTTGCAGGGTTGCATTTAACACAGGGACTAGTCGGCGCTTGCTCGTCCGAGGTTTGAACATTTTCGATCTCAGAAATTTAATTTGTAATTTTGCGTTTAAAAATCCGTATAAGTATAATTCATACAACATATAAATTAGTGCTACTATGCTATCTACATATACCTACCTATAATCTATAATATTAATCAGACTTCAACTTTTTTAACACGAAGTTGAATAGTCATGATATCAATGTTACTTGTAAAATTTTGACCTGGTATTAATTAACATCGGTTTTACACTTGCAAGTAGCACTTACACATAAGTGTATAGTTTTTACATCTTTAATTGAAATTTTTAGCAGTTGCAGAAAAATAATATTCATTCATGCATAGCGAAATTTATTTTCAATGTGATTCTTTAATTGCTAACCAAAATGTATTTATTTATTACAACTATGCGGGGGCATGGTGCTGAGCTTACAATATAAATTTCACTTACATACCTACGCTATAATGATATCTAGAATGTTGCAGACATTTCTACTAAAAAATATTTTTTTCAGCAAGCCTGCTTGTGCAAATATCAAAATTGTATTTTCGAAATTTGCTTCGATAAACTAAGAAAATTGTCACGTTCTACTAAATTTTATTAAATAGCAGTAACAACAAACTTTAGTTGTAATAACGAAGCAGACAGTCTGGCCTAAGCTACTCAATTTAAGCTTAAAATAAATATGTATAGATATATAAAGAAACTAAATAAAGCTAACGTGATTTCAGTATGACTAGATATGGTGCATGGGAAAAATTCTGAGTATATATGACAAACAAAATGTTACATTAGAGTTGATTTAGAGAACTATTTGACAAAACTTATAAAATAGTGAAATAGTCAAATCACTGTCATCAAATTTATTATAGAGTCCTTAGGACATAAAGTTAGTAGGTATATTCCAAATTCCAAATAAAAACAGTGTTTTATTTTTGTGCGAGAGCTATTGACACATAAATTCATTTGCAAATTTTTGTTAAATTGTGTGCTGTTATGACGTTTTAACTCAAAAATCTAAGATAAAGTGAAATACAAAAATGCAGCTTATGTAATTTATTTTGAACGTAAATTATAAATACAACTAGAGTATTTCTAGAATGAAATTTTGTCCATATTTAAGTCATGTGAAGATTATATAGGAAACAATAACTTCTAACCAGAAAATTACGTAATAATTGGGGGGGGATAGTGGATAAATTTTAGTCAATATACTGTAATAATCACTACATAGATCAAGCTTAGTGTCAGACGGATTTCGCACACAAAATCCTGGTTACGGGTATCTGGAAGATATTCTACAAAATGTGTTGCAGGTTTCGATTTATTTTGTGCATAATATGTCGTCCTACACATTTTTTAATTCTTATTGTTGAATTTTGTTTGTTCTTTTACAGGACTTACGTAGTAGTGTTTTTCAGGATATTATAATTTTTGTAAAATACGATTTAACCAACAACATTTTGAATTTTATGCACCTTTAAAGTAGTCCATGTATCTGTAGGTACAAACTTACGTCAAAACAGTCGTTGCTGATCGATATTAATTCAGTAAACCCTCAAAAGAGATTTTCTTAATCAATATAATCATAAGAAAAACGATAGATTATGTGATGTAATTTCCATTGTAAGAGACTGTAATTAAGTTTAGGTATATTATTTCTTTATTATTTATTACTAATATTTCATAATATTTAGTTCATGTTGACATACAATGGAATTCTACTCATAAATAAAAAATATTGATTTCTAAAATGACCTTCCAAATTTCTTTAGTTAAATTGCAGTAGTAGTATGTTACATACCTAGGGGAAAATGTTTCATTATAGCCGGGACAATTAGTTAACCAAGGGGCGCAGCCCCGAAATGAACTATATTTTGAGGCTGTTGGAATTTTCCCACCAAGGCATGCATACTATTTTATTCCCAATAATCTGGATAATTTCTGCGAAAATCAAATTAAAAAAAAAAGTATTACGCCACAATGTTTATTTTCATAGAGCCAGTAAGCTATGCACAGTAATCAAGTTACCTCTAAATAAAGTTTAATATTATTATTAGTTTGACGTTTGAGGGTGAAAGTAAGATTTGTCTTATTACATATTAGAAAATGTATCATTCTGAATTTGAATCTTTAACGTGTCCGGATTTGAAAAACGTAGCGCACGAAGTTGCGCAAAATCTACTCCCCAAAAAAATAAAAATTGGTATGAAAATGCCTACAAAAAGTACCTTCAATGATGTGCTAGTAAGAGAGCTCATAATATTACATCAGAAATTGTGCTACTGGCCTATTTTGCCGAATTAAGGCACAATAAATGGTCATCAACGTTGTGGACCACCTATTTAATGTTAAAGTCAACGGTAAATATTGACAAAAATACCGACATTTGTAAATTGTCCAAGCTGATGATGTACCTTACACACCTAGGTGTATAGTGAATAGTTGCCCTGGTTACTAAATTGAAGTAATAATGTCATTACCCATTACATGTATAACTATAGGTTTTTTTTTAAATTTTGATTAACTCATTTTAATATTTACTACATTTATTGTCATTAACAATACAAAATTGACACTTGTAGTACTTTGCCCAATGCCATTTTGATGAGGAACCAAAGCCTATTTGTAATATGATAAACACAGGCGAAAGATTTTTGTGTGCATTCTCTAGGAGAAATTCTAAAAAAAAACACCTAATACTTGTGTTAGAATTATAGTAAATATATGGTTGTATAAAATAACATACTACACACATGTAGCTTATGACTCCGCGTTGGGTTTTTACCCGAAACATCTAGATTTTTGTAAAAAAAAACAAAATTATAAAAGAACATTTTGCAATTTAATTTTGAATCTGCAAAACCGAATGCTTTAAAATCTTGCAGATGTTTTAAAGTTATAATAAGCATGATAAATTTTTAATCATGCTTATCACCTCCAAAAAATTGATGACGTCAACTCAAAATTTTGCCAAATAAATCCTATCCTAGATGTCCAAAATATGAGTCTTTGCTTGTGATTTATCATTCCACTCATATTTTTTGAATTTGCTTATACAGGTGACTCAAAAAAAATACACAGGTGAATTTATTTTATAGATTTAATCAGGAACTGCAAAACTGAATGCTCTGAAATCTTAGACATGTTTTAAAGTTATAATAAGCATGGTAAATTTTTCATCAAAATGTATTTACTCATCCCCCTTAAAAAATTGAAGACGTCACCTCAAAATACACTTGCGAGCATTGAAATCGGGCCACAAATGGGGCCACTATTCACATCTGACTTTGAATAAAATTTTCCACTGAACTATATTACACTTAAAGAACCTAAACAAGCCATTAGAAAGATCAGATGTTTGTCTTTAAAACAGAGTTACGAAAAACTTCATGAAATTGTTTTGCAATATTCTTTTTTGGGCAAAAAAGAAAATTGTTCGACAACGAAATTTGTTATGTTAACAAAATCAACAATTTAAAGAAGAAAATGATGTTAATATGTTGGCACCCCTCAATTAAGGTGGCGATAATTTCTTGCAGGATATTAGCCCATTCTTCTTCAATAGCTATTCTGAGTTCTTGGAGTGACCCAGGAGCCGGGATTCTATCTCTAATTCTTTGTTTAAGTTCATCCCACAGATGTTCTATAGGATTAATATCCGGGCTACGTGCTGACCAGTCCAAACACACTATACCAACTTCGCGAAGGTGGCCCGTTTTTAATGCTCGCAAGTTTATTACAGAATAAATCCTATCTTCCTATTTTAAATGTGCAAAATATGATCAGCCTATACTTGTCAGTTTATTTTATTGATTAAATCAAGAATTGCAAAATTAAATATTTCAAAATCGTGCAGACGTTTTGAAGTTATTGTAAGAATGGTAACTTTTTAATTAAAGTGTCTCTGTTTATCAGTCCCAAAAAATTGATGACATCACCTTAAAATTTTCCCGAATAAATCCTATCTAAAATGTGCAAAATATGATCAGTATATACTTATAATTTATCATTGCATTCATATTTTTTAGATTTGCTTATACAGGGTGACTCAAAAATATTAATGAATGAGTCAATTTATTTTATTGACTAAATCAGAAACGACTTTCTCTGTTTTCCCAGAAAAGTTTGAAAATACAATATTGTTATTTTTAGTATTACACTGCACAACCCAAGTTGACATACGTGTCCTTGCACAAGTGTTGATGACGTCATCACAAAATTGTGTAAAGAAAACCCTCAACTCAAAAATTCTGGATATGTTTCATTGCACGTCAAGAGCGAGGGAAGTTCTCCCGAAATAACTTTCGACCAATTTTTTTCCAAGAATCTAGATGTTTCAGGCGAAAACTCAACACGAGTTCATACATCACAAGTGCAGGAGTATTTTGTTTTATACAATTTAAAGGGGTCATCAAACGTCGAAAAAACATGAAAGTGGCAAGTAGCCCGATTGACTCGATTACCATACTTCCTTAGGTTACACTCGGAAAATAATAAATGCCTTTGACATATTTAGTTAACCTCTGTTTCATAAATGGTAATTTTCCACAAATACTGAAAATAAATAAAATTGTCCGGTGCATAAGAAAGATAATGGGTACATGTCAAATTCAAAATTATCGAACAATTGTTATTACATCTGTTTTCTCAAAAATTTTTGAGTATTAATAATAATATATTTATTTCCAACAAGTATATATATGTACCCAATTACAGGAAATATAATAAATAGCGGTCACAGAAAAAGCGTATTTGCATAAAAAGAACATACT